CATTGGTGAATGCCACAAATTCTCCTAAATCACTCGTACGCACAACTTAAGAACAAATCTGTGCGTACGAACGGTTCTTGCGTGAGGCCCATTGTCGGTTTCGAACTTTTGAGCTTTCTCTGACCCAAGAAGGTCTTACTTCAGCGTCAAATGATGGAAAAGTTTGTAAAATAAAAATAAAAAAGAGAAATATAACCTGACCTGTTCTCTTATTGGAATCAAACGGATCGTCTTGAAGGCATTTGAAAGAGTAAATTTAAGCAAAGCCCCCTGCAGCAAGAACAACTTGTCTGTGATTTGTTCAGCACTAATACATCCTTTCATGAGGGAGATTAAATATATCAACAGAAATAAAGGTGGCAACAGAAAGTACTTAAAAAGATCATTGACTTATTTTAGTTGCACCGTGTCCAGAGACCTGTTCCTGAACGTGCAATAAAGGACACACTGTGCAACCGATGTGGCTCAAAGTTACCTGATCCACTACTTGTCTCACATCCAAAACCTTTCTGACTGTGAAGGTCAAAAACTCTGATTGTCACACACTTGGACAGACTCACTGGGGGAGCTATAATTGGCCAAGTAGTTGTGTAACTGAAGGGTATCTGGTACAATTCTTCAGCTGGTTGTGAGCGCTGAAAGTCTGGTGACTCAGCAAAAAAAAAAAAAAAATCAAGTAAATAACTCAAATCTCAAATCAGCAAGTGTAGCATTTAGTTTATTTTTTGCAGAAATTTTATTTTTGTAAAATAAGTAGTAAAATGATTCAATGAATGGAGAAAGTGGTCTTTGATTGCTCCCGAGTTCTGTAGAAAACTGCCTGAGTTCAGACGCTTCCTGAGGTTGATCTCAGGTTCTGGTGAATATCAATCATCCAGGTAGGAAATTCTAACAAGGTTGAGCCAGGTGCTTTGGACATGTTTTTCTTTGTTGAAGCATTTTACCTCTTTTTTCTTTTCTCTGAGAGACATATCACCTGAAAACTGATTGTTGCATTGGTAGTGCTTATAAGGCTGAATTTCCCTGCAACTCTTCATGCTAAAGAAGTCTATTGGAGAAGAGATGAAATGTTTCAGTGAAGAAGAACCTGACCAGTGGACCTACCTTATCTTTGTTAAATGCAATGTCTAAAGGTACTCTGACTTAATAAAAGGCCACAGAGCATCTTGAGTTTGTCTGTGCTCAAATGGAAGCAATGATGCAGACATTTTAAGAACTCATCAATCTATCGTGTTTTGTTTAGCCACAGTTGGTCATCCTGCCTCAAGTGGAGGAGTTTAAGTGTCTGGGGATCTTGTTCACGAATGGGGGAAGAA